CCAATACCAGAGTCATCATTCTCAAAGCATAAACCAACATCTCGAGTACCATGGAGATATCTCAATATCCACTTAGCTGCTTGCCAATGCTCTTTACCTGGATTATGCATATATCGACTCACCATGCCAACTGCATGAGCAATATCTGGTCTAAAGCATACCATTGCATACATCAAACTACCAACCAAATTTGCATATGGTATATTTTTCATTTGCAGCTTCTCTTTATCAGTTTTAAGACATTGTAGAGAACTCAATTTAAAACGAGGAGCTAAAGGGGTACTAACCGGTTTGGTTGAATCATGAACTCCAAACTTCCGAATCAACTTCTCAAGGTATTGTTTTTTATTCAAACTGACCAAACCCTTCTCTCTATCTCTAGTGATCTCCATGCCAAGGATCTTCTTCGCTTCACCAAGATCCTTCATCTCAAACTCATTCTTCATTTGCTTCTTCAATTTTTCAATCTCTTCAACATTCTTTGAGGCAATCAACATATCATCAACATATATCAACAAAAAAATGAAATACCCATCTTGCAACTTCTTGAAGTACACACAATGATCATATTGACTTCTAGAATAATTTTGGCCTCTCATAAATTTATCAAACCTTAAATACCATTGTCTTGGAGATTACTTCAAGCCATATAGTGATTTCTTCAATTTGCAAAACAAGTTCTCCTTCCCTTTCACTATATACCCATCCGGTTGACACATATAAATCTCTTCATTCAAATCACCATGTAGGAAAGCCGTCTTCACATCAAGTTGCACAAGCTCAAGATCATATTGTGCAACAAGAGCTAACATAATACGAATTGAGGAGTGCTTCACAACCGGAGAAAATATTTCATTGTAGTCAATGCCCTCCTTTTGTGCATACCCTTTAGCAACTAATCTTGCTTTGAATCTCACATTGCTTTTTTCATCAGCATCTTCCTTCTTGGCATACACTCATTTGCAACCGATAGCTTTCTTGCCCTTAGGCAATTTAGCTAACTCCCAAGTCTTGTTCTTCAAGAGAGAATTCATCTCATCACCCATGGCATTGCACCACCTCTCATTCTCCTCACTCTCAATGGCTTCCTTGAAATTGGATGGAATATCATCAATGATAATAGGAAGAGCAAAAGCAACATAGTCACTATACCGAGCTGGCTTGGTAATTTGTCTCTTTTCTTTGTTCTTGGCAATAGACTCTTGAGGTGAAACTTGCTGTTCAACTTGAATAGAATCTTCAAGTTCAACTTCTTCAACATCCTCATGATCTCCAACTTCTTCACTTGTAGTGGCTTCGACATCAGCGGAAATAGGATTTGAAGTAACAGAGGCAACTTTCTCAAGCTCCACCTGTTGGACATCTTTCACATTCTTCTCAGAGACTTTGTACATACTTTCTTCATCAAATGTCACATCTCTGCTGATTACAAGTTTTTTCATCTCTGGGCACCACAAGCTGTAACATTTGACACCACTACTAAAACCAAGAAAGATAGCCTTTTTGGCTCTAGGATCAAGTTTATTTTCAGTCACATGAAAATAAGCAGGTGAACCAAAAATACGGATATAGTCATAATCAGAAGAAGGTTTTCCAGTCCATACCTCCATTGGTGTCTTACCCTGAACAGCAGCTGAGGGTAACCGGTTGATGATGTGACATGCATAATTAACTGCCTCTGCCCAAAATGACTTGCTTAAACCCGACTGAGACAACATACATCTAACCTTTTCAAGCAAGGTTCGATTCAATCTTTCTGCAACTCCATTTTGTTGTGGAGTTCCCTGAACACTGAAATGTCTCACAATTCCTTCCTCTTTGCAAACTTTAAAGAAAGGGTCGGATGTGTATTCACCACCATTATTCGATCTCAAAATCTTAATCTTTCACCCAGTCTGGTTCTCAACCATTTTCTTCCAACTCAAGAAAATGCTCAATACCTCATTCTTGTGCTTCATAATGTAAACCCAAGACCTTCTTGAATAATCATCAACAAAGGTCACGAACCAATGTCTACCACTTAAAGAGGGAGTCTTTGTAGGACCCCAAACATCTGAATGCACATAATCAAGAATGCCATTCGTCTGATGTACAGCAGTACCAAACTTCACTCTAGTTTGTTTCCCCAAGACACAATGCTCGCAGAAATCAAGTTTACAAGTCGTGGCACCTTTTAGAAGACCTTTTTTCACAAGCCCTTGTAGAGCTTTCTCACCGGCATGGCCTAATCTCATATGCCACAATTTAGTAGTATCTGAATCAGATGTGCCCATATTTTCAGAGACTACAGATGCTTCACCTGTCACAGTGCTTCCCTGCAATAAATACAAATGGCCACATCTAGAAGCTTTCATCACAACAAGTGCACCATAAGTAACTTTCAATGTCTGTCCATCTGAATTAAACCTAAAACCCTCGGATTCCAAAGTACCCAAAGAATTCAAATTCGGTACATACCGAACACCTGTCAACTCTTTAACCATGCCATCATGCAACTTCAACCGAACTGTACCAATCCCTTTTGTTGTGCAAGGATTGTCATCTCCCATGAACACAACTCCACCATCAAACTCTTTCAAGCTTGAAAACCAATCCTTGTGAGGAGTCATATGATGAGTACAACCCGTATCCAACACCCACTTAGTAGCACAATCAAATGATGAGGAAGTGGTTAAAGCAAAATCAGAAAAATCTGTTTCAACCTCAGCAACATTAGCTTCAGAACTTTCTTTGCCTTTGGTCTTCAACCTAGGACAATCTTTCTTCCAATGGCCCTTATTATGACAAAAGGCACATTCATCCATTTCCAAAGGTTTTCTACCTTTAGAGTTTCCTCTAGGTCGAGACTGTGATTTTTTCCTACTAGAAGATGATCTTCTCTCCGATGATCTACCTCTAACAAATAAAGCTTCAGAGGTACTATCATGATTTTTATCTCTATGCCTCATTTCATAATTTATCAAGGCATTTGACACATCTTCAAATTTCACAGTTTCTTTACCATGCATAATAGTGGTAACAAAATGCTCATAAGAGTCCGGCAACGAATTCAACAATATTAAGGCCTTATCTTCATCCTTAGTATCCTCATCTAAATTTAACAAGTCGGCAATCAACTTATTAAAAGCATCAAGGTGTCTAATCATTTTTGTACCTTCTTTGTATTGGAAGTGGTAGAGCTTTTTCTTCAAGTGTAGCCGGTTCTCTGCACTCTTTGTCATATACTTGTCTTCCAATTTTTGCCACAACACACTTGCTAATGTCTCCCGCATCACAAAATACTTCTGAGTTTTTGCAAGGCACAACCGAATTGAAGAGCAAGCCCACAAATTTAATTTTTCGCATTCCGGCTTCGACATAGCTTCCGGCTTCTCTCCCAAAGCGGCAAGTAGATCTTGTTGAGCCAACACATCTTTGACCTCACATTGCCACATCCCGAAGTTGTTTGTGCCATCAAACTTTTCCAGTTCGAACTTTGCATTTTGCACCATAGTTCTTGCAAACCCGGAGCTGCTTCCAAAAGGATTCTCATCTTGCCCGTCTGACATCTTTGGCAACTAGACAGTACCCAAGAGCAACCAGTGCTCTGATACCAATTGTTGTGCTAGGATAGCACACCAAACCCGTTGGAACCAACTCAAGCTAACCCACAGGAAATTTATCAAAAGAAAATGCAAGAACAAAATATTAAAGATACCAAGATTTTAACGAGGTTCCTCAACAGTCAATGTAACTGAAGTACGTCCTCGGAGGAGTAGGAGCTCACCCAAGAATCCACTGTCAACCAAATGGGAGTTTACAAAGTGTTGGCAATCTCACAACCCAAATAACCCAATACACCCAATAGCTCTCATACACCACAGAAACAAATAGAGAAAGAAATATAATGAATAATTTCTTCTCTATACATATAGCTCAAAGCTATTACAACAACAACTACCTTGGTGGATGATTACTAACCAAAAAGAGGAGCACTTTCTTCTTCTCTTCAAAGAGGGGATGCTCCACTTCTATTTTTTCTTCTCTGTTTTCTGATGCACTCTTCTCTTCTCTCTATCATTTCTCCAAAGGCAACAACCCCATATTAAAAACCAAAACCCACGGGTGTTATGGCCAAAACAATTCACTTTAGACAAGGTGCCATGTTTTCCTCCCCAAAACATGGAAGGGACATAATTATATTGTCTTTTTCTTTCTTTTGCTTTGTTTAATACCTAAAAGGTGATGTTGAGTTGCCACTTGGCCACAATTCAACAAGATTATCCCAAACTCTTTGATCATAAATGTTTAAATGGAAAATAGGTTCAGAAGATTCAATATTTTCCTCCACACCAATATGATCATTATCAACATTTAAATCCAAATCACCACCATTTTCATGGTCTTGAAACTCATCACCAACATTTTCCTCCAAATCACCACCATTTTCATGGTCATGAGACTCGTCATTAACATCTTTCTCCATATAACCACCAATTTCACGATCATGAAACTCTCCAACATATTGTGACTCTTCACCAACATCAGTTTCTCTCAAAATTTCAATTGATTCATTCTTTGTAGAAAAAAATTTATTAAGAGATCCTCTTAAACTTTATGTAATTTCATTATCCTTTGCCTTTTTTTTACTTTTCATATTACCGAATAGTTGTTTCCTATAAGACATGGCTTCGAAAATTTGTTTGCAAAAATTACCTACGATATAACAAAAATTTTCTATCAAAATTATCATTCCAACACATATTATATATTATAAAAACCCTAACATCTATTATATATTATAAATGCACTAACACATAGTCTAACATATTAGAAATTTTGATAAAATTGAACCTATGAATTGAGCACAATCAGTAGGACAAATCACAGGAATTTAGTCGAGCTGCTGGGATTCTGCAACGAGAGAGCACCGAATTCTTGTGTATGAGTTTATGAGCAACGACTCACTAGCAACTAGCAAGCTGTCTCTTTGAAAAGTCAAGGCCAAACTGGAATCGAAGAAAGGAAATCGCGAGAGGGCTCTTGTATTTACATGAGGAGTGCAGCACCCAAATCATACATTGCGACATTAAGCCTCGGAATATACTTCTAGATGACTCTTACAAAGCAAACTTTAACAAACACATGGAGTGCATAAATCAAACCAAACTTCGATTGACCATAAATCTTCCAAGGTTTGAACTTTACATAACAATTTTCAAAACCCATTACAAAGCATAAAAATCCCACTACGTTCTGCTGAAAATTCAAAACCCTAAGATTTAGGGATTCTTAAGCCCTCTCGCCCCTAATCCTGCGAGCAAGCTGGATGTCCTTGGGCATTATGGTGACCCTCTTGGCATGAATGGCGCAGAGGTTGGTGTCCTCAAACAGACCCACCAAGTACGCCTCCGCCGCCTCCTGGAGCGCCGACACCGCGCTGCTCTGGAACCTCAGATCGGTCTTGAAGTCCTGTGCAATCTCCCTCACAAGCCTCTGGAACGGAAGCTTGCGGATCAGGAGCTCAGTGCTCTTCTGGTACTTCCTGATTTCCCTCAGAGCCACAGTTCCCGGCCTGAAGCGGTGGGGCTTCTTCACTCCACCGGTCGCCGGAGCAGACTTCCTAGCAGCCTTAGTTGCCAGCTGCTTCCTTGGTGCCTTTCCTCCGGTGGACTTGCGAGCAGTCTGCTTGGTACGAGCCATCTGGAAAAATGAAAGTGGAGGTTTGAAGGGTTTAAGATGTGTTTGTTTCTCGAGAAAATTTGAGAGATTTCGATTTCGATTGGATGGAAAGTGGCGGAAGCTTTGGAGGTGTTTATTTACGATTTGGAGTGGAGAGAAAAAGCGGGAATTTGAAATTTTGTGTTTTCGTGTGATAGTTTTGGGGAGAGGACGCGGCGGGAGAGCATGTGCCGTTGATTTATATACGAATCGACGGTTGTGAGTTCTCGATCCGTGGCTATACGATTCAACCAATGGGAGGGGTGGTTCTCGTTTTATTAATTTAATTATTATTTGTTGGTTGAAGAGCCTGGGAATATGGGCTGTTGGGATTTGGGCTTAGTGTGTGAAATATCAATACAGGCCGTTTTACACATACAGCCCAGTCAAACAATTTCTTTTTTTTTTTTTTAAATGAGACCAGCTAATGATTTCGCTACAACAGTCCATCTTTCCAAGAGTTGAAAAGACTCACATAGACATTTTTGCTTCCCTTCGCCACCATCTTATGATTCACCAGCGTCGGAAATTGAACCCAATACATAACAAGTGGAATACATGTTTGATATTCGTTTTCAACCACTGAGCCCCCTCGTAATGGTTTATAGCCCAATCAAATTTCATGTGATGATTATTTTAGGAAGTTACTAGAAATATTGCCTGCGCGTTGCTGCGGGATTAGAAACCGCATGAAAAAAATATGTTTCGAAGCTATAAGAGATTGTTAAAGAAGGTTAATGTTATTTACACTAAAAAATGTTTGAACTTTTTTGAAAGAATTTTTACATGAAGAGCAGAAATTGGGTGATTGAAGCTCCTTGGAATTCTTTAAACCACTCTATGAATAGCATGACCTGTAAGTGATGGATAGCGTAACAAAAATTCGTTTAACCCCAACATTAGTTTTTGAAACCCCAATTTAATTGAGTATGATTGAAAATTTGAAAGGGGAGGAGGATAAGATGAGGACAAGAGGATAAGAGATAGCTTGTGGAGTGAAGTTTTCGTGTCAAATTTTGATACTTGATTCATTGAATCCCAACTTGTTTATGAAACCCCCAATTGAGTTTGGTTGAAAGGGGAGGAGGAGAGGACGAGGACAAGAGGCTGTTTTGTGGTGGAGATGAGTTTCGTGAGGATTTGTGGTTAAGAAACGTGAGACCTTTTTTTTTAATTTTTTTAATTTTTATGTTTTTAATATGGAAAACCGAAGAATAGCATAAACCAGGGCTGAAGCAATAGAGGTGCAGAATAGCGTAAAACGTGAGAAGTTTTTATTTTTTGGAACCAAAATTAAACTTTTAATTATTTTTTTATGTCACTCAGTACTACGGTTTGGTAGTATTCCTCTTCACTTGGAAGTGAGAGATCTTAGGTTTGAATCTCGTGGATGACGAATTCGACACCAAATTAGGTTGCTTATTGTGTGACTTAGCTGAACTCTCCCTCCCTTAGTGTAAAAATATCGACGTACTCAATTTTTTTTTTTTTATGTTTATCACGTGGATTGCAATATGCAATATGTACACTTTTTTTTTCTCCCATCCGCACATTGTGCCGAACGTGGCTCCTTTCTTGCTTAAGGAACACTTTAATTATGTGAGTCCAACTAATTTTGGATATAAGATACACAAAAAAAAAGGTATTATATTAACATAAAGAGATTGTTTATCTCATGCCCATTCATTTACTTCATCATTCCTTCTAATCCATCGTTCCTTCATATTCTAATACCATATGTAAATATGTCTTGGAGAGTTTAAAATTGTTTGTACAATACTTGACCAATCCCTAAATTACTGAACACTAGTCAACGTTATACTGTCAAGGACCCATAAGAGTTTCCCTCCAACCAGGAGGCCAATCACAGCGCGACACATGTCGACATCAGAAGCCAATCATAGCACGACACGTGTCAACATCAGAAGCCAATCACAACACGACACGTGTCAATGTCAGAATGAAACTAGAAACTATCTTCTATAAATAGATATTATTCTCTCACAATATTTCCTAATGTCATTTGTACTAAATCATTCACTAGTACTCACAAAATGAGAGCTTTAACCTATGTACTTGTATAAACCCTTCACAATTAATGAGAACTCTTTTACTCCGTAGACGTAGCCAGTCTGGGTGAACCACGTACATCTTGTGTTTGCTTCCCTGTCTCTATCCATTTACATACTTGTACATACTAGTGACCGGAGCAAAGGTCACAAACTTAACACTTTATGTTGTACCAAAGTCCTCGCTGATTTTGTGCATCAACAAAAACCAATAGAATTTGAAATGCAATTTAATTAGAGTTTGGTTAGTAGAACGATTGTGAGATTAGTTGTAAACCTAAAAATTAGCTTAGTCTACTCCCACCTACTTATGAGCCATTCACTTATTATAAGAGTTGTGGAGCCATTTTGTGTGATAAGAGTTTGCCTTATTTTCTCTTCGGTGTACACCAACTTCAGGTTTGCTCAAAAGTGGATGAAGGGTTTTATTTTCCCCTTTGTATTCATTACATAAGAAACCTTCCCAAGTATGAACATACTAAACATGAGAAATGAAATTATTTAGCAATCCCATGCCCTCCTTCCGTAAAGGCTTTTTAGCCAAAATGATCTATGAGATTTGCATAACCCCTTAGATAGAAAATCAATAGAAATTGTCTTTGAGATTTTTCACCATCCATTATTTTGGTCATTCCGTTAAAAACTCCGTTAAGTGTCCCGGAGCTTTTAGCTGGAAGTTTAGGCAATTTTCAAAGCTTCGTAACTCAATCGTTTCTTAATCAAATTCAACTCATAATATATCAAAATGAAGATAGGAAAGTGTACAACAAGATTATACCTATTTGGAAGCCCAATGGTTGTCGGAGATGGCCGAAAAATAGCCTAAAAGATGACTGGTCATCAGGAAAATTGGAAAACTCGTCAGAAACTGGGTAAACTTTAAACGTTCATAATTGAGGGTGGGTGTGTGGGGAGGGTGGGTGCAGAGGAGATAAGTGAGGGAGAAGGGAGGGAGGGGGTTGAGGGGGGTGGGGATGGACAACCCATAATTGTTTTTTTTATTTTTCTAATTTTTTAATTTTTTTAAATTTTAATTTTCTTATTTTAAATTTTTTTAATATCCACGTGGGCCCATAATGACATGTGGCTTCCATTCATTGTCCACTTGGGCACCACATCACCAATTAACGGTTGACTTAACAACAATCTTAACGGATGTATGAGATTTTCTTAGGTACCATTATGGGATAAAAAAACTTCATATACTAAATGTTGAAAACCAAGAAATTTCAAGATAGTAAACCGAGATTAACCATTTACATTAAGTTTTGGTTATAATTATTTTAGAAATAAAATTGTGGTTATAATTTTATGTGGGGATGAAAGGAAAAATTACACTTAGAGTATATTTTTAATACTTAATTATATATTGAGACAACATTTTTTAAACATTCAAGAAGAGACAAAAGTTAATGCATGTGAAAAGTGACATCATTGCCTTTTTTTTCTCTAGAGTGTAAGTTACAAAATTACCCTTTTATAGTGGAATAGTCTTTTTCACACTTATATCTCTTCAACTGTTGCTCATTTCTCTCTCTTTCTTTGTTCAAGAAATATGGTTCCATTAATTATTCAAATGAATGAATGAACTTGTGGATCTATGACATCTACCCAGTTTACCATCCCATTCCCATTCCTAGTTGGACAATTAAAGTTCCTAGTTTTAATTATTTGTTCGACGGGTGTAATTCCCTTCTTTTTTTCCCTTTTCAAGTTCAATATGCCTTGAAATTGGATTGAAAGATGTTCTTGTTACTTTATAGAATATGATATTCAAATCAAACATGATTTATCACAGATAACCTTCCATTGACTAAATTAAAATGAGTTTCAAATCAAACAAATTATGAATTAGAATACCTGGCCTTTGCCTTGCTTCTCTCCCCCCAAAATTCTACTGTTTTATTTCAACCTCTGTTAACGAAAAAAAATTCTATCAAAAATTCGAATTTGTAAAATGAAAAAAGAAAAATACAACAACTGGTTTCAGGCTCTTCTCTTGTACCAGTTGACTGTTTCTCTTAGGCCTTTTTAAAAAAAAAAATCATAATTGGTCTTTGAAATTGACCAAACACATCATTTTGGTTCCTCACTTTCAAAATCAATCAATGTTGTCCCTAACATTCACTACCTCACATCAATTTGGTCATTCCGTTAAGATTCTGTCAACTATTCTGTTAGTTTGTATGTGAAACCCACAAATCCAATCAAATTGTGACACGTGGATTACACAAAATAAGGGTTTTTATCACCAATGGTCCCTGACATTGATCCAACTCCTCATTTTGGTCTCTGAGTTTCAAAAATCGATAAATTTGATCCATGACCTTCACTACCACACATCAATTTATTCCCTCTGTTAATGTGGTCCCACTAATCCAATTATATGGCTCAACATGGATTAACTATAAGAAACTATTTTTTCAAGAGTGAACCAAAAGAAGAGTATTCCGCACTGACATTCTTCTCACATCCCACAACCCCAATTGGAAAAAAATTCAATCCAAATTTGTTAGGATTTAGGATTATAACCAACTAGAGAAAATAAGGAGTGAGTTCAGGAGACCAAGTACTTTAGTAGTGTCATGGTGCCTTCCCTTTCCTTTTGAGCATACCATGATGAAGACGACGATGACTTTTTTTTTCTTTTAGTTTTGGTTTTAAGTTTCTTATTTTACTTTTGGTTTTAAATCTTAAAACAAAAAAAAAATTCTTATAGTTAATCCATGTGGTGCCATATGATTGGATTAGTGGGACAAAAAATATTAATGAAACTTTAACAGAAGGATAAAATTAATGTGCGGTATTGAAAGTTAGAGACCAAATTTATCAATTTTTGAAACTTAGAGATCAAAATGAGGAGTTAGATTAATGTTAGGCACCATTTGCGATAAAAACCCTTATTTTGTGTAATCCACATGTCACCATTTCATTGGATTTGTGGGTCCCATATACAAACTAAAAGAGTAGTTGATGGAATCTTAACGAAATGAAATTAATGTGCGGTAGTGAATGTCAGGGACGACTTTGATTG